CATCTCTCAGCGACCATTAAGCGTAGTGTCCAATGTACATTAAACCCAACGAAAACATTATCGAAACAATTTGGACGGAAATGTTACACCAATTCTCGCATCCTTCTATTATAGGCGGGGACCTGAATGCACACCACCTATCATGGGGGTGCTCCTATGGGGACGCGTCAGGTAGAGGTTTATTATCCGCTTTAGAACAACTGGACCTATGCTTCCTAAATGACGGTTCGCCAACTATCATCAATAGACAAGGAAAAAGCAACTCAGCGCCGGACATCTCCCTCATCACATCAACCATAGCCCCACTAGCAACCTGGACCACGCTACCAGATAATTTTGGGTCAGACCATTATGCCATATTAATGAATATTCAGATAGGTCCAGAAGATACGGTAGAAGAAGTACCAGAACGATGGATGTATAAAAAGGCCTACTGGAAAAAATATACCAACTGGGTACAGCAGGAAGTGGACAAAGTTAAGCCAGAAAACTACGTCAAGATGGTGGATATAATAAACCAAGCTCAACCAACTCTATCCCACGTTCCAAAAAGACACGGACTTGAAAAATCGACCATGCAGGAAACCAAAACATTGATGGGACGATGCATGCCAAAATGAATGGAACAAGAAACAAAAAGATTTCCAGAACTTCAAGAAAATCCCGTCCATAACAAACTTCATACGGGCACAAAAATCAGATGCGATGTGCAGAAAAACGTTCAAGCAAAAAAAAAAGAGATAGTTGGGAAAATTCGTAAATACTCTAAATAGAGAAACACCAATAGGAAAAGTCTGGGATAAAATAAGAAAAATAAAGGGACTCGAACGACGAAAATCTATCCCTAAAACAAGAGGCATGGCGGAATTCATTAACATAGTGGCTCCACCTACAGCTCCTGAATACGTAAGCACAGAGGATATAGAGGTTTCCAACGACACAGAAATAGACATCCCTTTTCCATGGAAGAATTAGAAAAAGCCCTCTCGTCAGGAAGCGGAACCGCGCCAGATCCGATGGCATAAACTATGAAATGGTGAAACGACTACCCGACAATGGAAAAATCTCCCTACTAAGAAGATTTAATGAAGTATGGATAGAAGGAGTGATTATTTCACAGTGGAATAGAGAATACATCATTCCAATCTGCAAACCTGGGAATAGAATGACGGGGAATCTTATAGACCAATCGCGCTATCATCGCTTGTTCTGAAAACTTTTGAAAGATGCGTTCAGGCTCGACTAGAGTGGTACGTTGAAAAACATGGATTAATACCAGCCAGAGTTTCAACATGGATTTCGCAAACGCCATAGTACTTATGACAACATGGCGACTTTTTTAAGTGACTGCTATAAAAATTTGGGGTAAAAAGAAATTACGCTAGCGATATTCTGTGATATCTCCAACGCCTATTCTAATGTAAATATTAATCTATTAAACCATCAAATGTTAGGATTAGGCATACCCGGACGATTCATTCGTACGACCATTAATATAGGCAAAAATAAAACACTTGTCTTCCAAGTTGACGGGCAAATTATGGGAACACGACTAGTCCATGTCGGCCTTCCGAAAGGAGCCGTCTAAGTCCTCTCTTGTTCTCTCTCTACACATCCACACTGAAAGTACGGCTACAGAACAGATCAAATTTTCCCAGTTTGCCGACGATATAACACTATACTCACGGAAGGACGTAGAAGAGATAAAGAAAATCAGCACACCACTTGATAGCCTTATTAATTGGACGAAGAACCTAGGACTCTCCTCTTATCGGAAGGAAAAAGTTCAGCTATGTTTATAACACGGAAACGAAGACTAGTACAACCCGAATTCATAACGAGTGGAAAAATACAAACAAGGACAACCATGAAACACAAGTTTTTTGGTATAATACTTGACCGGAAACTTTTATGGAAACCACATCTAGAATACACAGAGGCGAAATGCGAAAAGGCCCTAAACGTATTAAGAGCTATTTCGAGAATAAAGTATGGCGGCCATCCCTCCATATGTACTATAATATACCTACCTCATTCAGTCAGTCATGGACTATGGAAGTATTTTCTTTGGGGACGCAGCCAAAACACACTTAAAGACTCTTGACCGAATACAATTCAGAGCGTTAAAATGTTGCTTGGGAGCAATGATATCAACTCCCACCAATGTTTTGCAAGTGGAATCAAATATCCCCCCTCTAAGTACAAGGAGAGAACTCTTAACAAGAAATTTCTTAACACACAGGATTATAAATAGTGAACATCCGATGTCGGTAGGCCTCAACAACCTTGCTGGCTCAATCCTGGGTATTGGGACCGGCGAAAGTGCCACTCTGGGAGCCAAAGACTTATAGACCAAGTGTGATAATGAATGTTAAGGATTTAGAAGGAAAATCAGAAGCTATACAAGGCTGCTTTGAAACCGGGAATTGTAACAGCATAAAACTAGTATTCACGGATGGGTCGAAATCAGAAAAGGGAGACGGGGCAGCAATATTAGACCCTGGAAATAAGACATTTAAAAAAGTTAAGCTCCCCAATATAGCTTCAATATACACAGACGAGTGTATGGCTATACTCGAAGCATTGAGATATATTCAAACACTACCAGACCAACGAATTGTCATAATCTCCGATAGCCTTAGCGTGCTAACGGCCATCAAATATGCGACTCGCCAACAGAATCCCCTAATAGATGAAATGCTGGATATGATTGAGAAAATTAAAAAAAAAGAGATTGACCTCCACTTCATCTGGGTCAAAGCGCATCATGTAAATAGGCACAACAACGAAGTAGACTTACTCGCAAAAGACGCTGCACAGAATGAGGTTCCTTACAACATTATCATCCCATGTGACATCACGGCTCACCTGAAACAAATTGCAAGGAGGAAATGGCAGAAACAGTATAACGAGTCCATAACAATGAAAAGCCAGTACTACGCTAATGTACAGCTTAGCATCCAACCCCTGGTACCTTAAGGTGAATAGACCAAAAAAGTTCTTCCCGACGATATTCAGGTTACGGTCTAATCATAACCAATTACCATACCACCTTGCCAAAATTGGTATTGTGGACAGCGACAGTTGTGGATGCGAAGCGAGGACCATTGCCGATTCAAACCACGTTATCCTGGCATGCACAGAAAACACGATGGACAGGGAGGTTTTGTTCTCAGAACTAAAAAAAAATGGAATGAAATTCCCAACGAAAATGGATATCGTACTCTCGGACACAAGAAACATCCCGGTTCTCGATGCACTCGTAGTCTTTATAAATAAGAACAATATACATATTTGACAACATGAAGTACATACGGCAGGAACGAATAAAAAATTAGTTTGACTCGTTCGTGGCGTGGGGTTGCCCGGGGACGGGTGGGTTTGGGTGGTGCTGGACTGTGAGGTCGGGTGCCATAAGCGGCTTGGGCGTGTTTCGCCCCGGATTCTATGGGGATGTGGTCTTTTCCATGGTGTTGTAAATGGTTTTTATCCACATCCCCGAAAATGGAAACCGTATATAGGCCTTAAAAAGAAATAAATAAGTATGAGTTCTGGTCCCCTTAGGCAGGCTTGGGCATTCTCCCGCTTTCCGGCTGCGCCTTGCTTGCCCCTTCGGGTTTCCACATGCTGCGAAGGAGAGAGAAAAAAAAAGAAATGGCAGATGCTCAAACGGCGATGCCAATTTTTTTTTTTTTAATTTGAATAAAATTATGATCTTAACGTAAACAGACCGTATTACCGAGTTTTCGGTGTATGTTACCACAATCGGATTTATTGGAGTCACATCCGTAAACCAAGCGCTTCTGGCAAAAGAAAGATTTACCACCGGCAAGTTAAAAAAATAAAGAAAGTTCTTATAAAACAACATCAAAAAACAACTGACCACTCTCAAGCTGTAATAAAAAATATTAATATCATGAGATTTTCAAAGAGTCCCACGGCGAAAGTTTGTCGAACCTGAACAACATCTGAGTTGTGCGTGTGTACTAGTCACCCGACACGCAGTGGACACTTTATTTTCGTCAAATTTTTTAGCGTTTAATCCATTTCGTAGATATAGGAAAGGGGTAGTGGTCACCCTTTGGGTGAGTAAGACCAGCACAGAGTAAGAAGTGTGAAAAAGAGATCGGATTTCTCCCCCTGACACATTCGATGACTCATCTTAATAACAGAGTTAACAATAGTTTCTATCTCATCGGAAAATTTGCTTTACTAAGCTACAACATGTAAAACTTGACTCCTTCTGAGTAATCGAATGGGTTGACCTCCTCTTCAACGCACTTCCACGGGTAGACCCAGTAAAATGATCATTCTATAAGTTCAACAATCTTTTGTTGAATCAAACACTATAAAAACCAGGCCCACGTTTTATTCCCCTTAAATACGAAGTACATTCTTAACAGCCTACAAGATTCCAAAGGAAGTGTCTTCGATGACAATATTCAATTCACCCACCATACAGACTTAATATTAGGAAGTAAAAATACAGTGTTGCTGACTGCTGGTCGAAAAGCCGAATATTGGATTGGAAATTAACTAGACGATTCTTATCAGCGGTGAATAAAACGTAAGTATTTATATTGATGTTGATACCTACAAAAGTCGAATCTACTTTATAAAAATTCAAGCTGATAAAATAGTAGTGCTCAGGGCGAGCAGGTGAAAAGCCTACGATCAAATCTTCCGAACAGTTTTCAAGAGTACTACTATTCAAATTCAACGCTAGCCCGCATAAAGAGGTTGGAAGTGAGTCGTTAAAGGGCTTTATTAATCAAAAAGGCATCCGTGAATTCCAGGAGGATTTGTCATGTTGGGGAGAAGGGTGCATTCATTACAAAAGGGCAGACCTCGCTTCATATCGGAACCGAACAAATTAGATTGTCGTACGGTCTTTAAGAAAAAAAAATCGCTTCAAAAAGGCGAGAGGTCGTCCATCGGTTGGGACAAATTCGAGTCTGTTCGAGATTTATGTGAAAGAAATATATAAAAAAATCACTCACCTAGTTGGACGTACATCTTTGGCCTGTGGTTATCCTGCCAGGCTGCGAACACGAAGGTCGTGATCGAGAGCAAGAAAACAATGCGGCCCATGCTTCCGCTGTTCCAAAGGTCTATACGGCGCACTAACAAATCCTAGATTACATCTCCCTTCATACTTCCGAACACCTGTAAAATCATTGAGTAGTCATTACTTTTTTTTATGTTACTTTATAAATCGCTATTAAGACGATGCAAAAATGTGGTCGAATTGAATAAAATGTAAAAGCATGCTTCTTATTTGTCATCTACACTTGGACACAATAACACCACGGTCAGCACTGCACACGAAAGAAACGTATCTGTTGACAGAAAGAGCGACGTCTCAGAGACATCGTCGTTGGAAAATTCTTGGAATGAGCGCTTGAAAAATACAGTTAGGATAGGTTGAAAGGTTATAGTGAAACAATAAGACCGTTCAAGAAACCGTTGTGGTTGCATTATATAACACTAAAATATCTGATTAAATGTTTATTAAACAGAAGGTTACCGTATATAATAAAGTTATAATAATAAACTTTTTAAGGTCACAGAAAGTTTTTTCCTCTCGGGTGAATTCTGCCGGTTTGGTCAGACTGCCCATAGTACTTCCTAAACATGGTCAGCTGTGATGGAAGGCCTAGGAAAGATCATACTGGAGGTTTCTTTTGGCGTCGGTTCCAGCTTTCTGGTCAAACGGTGCTGGAGTTGCCGAGTCCCAGTCTTGAATGTCAAAGATATATTCGTGTAACACAAATACTGTTTAAGACGGTCAATGGAAACATACCGCCCACCAAATTACTGCTAAGTTAGGCCGCCGAATGATATCACCCGCCTCCTTCAACGTCTTGTTAAAAAAAAAACGATAAACCACGAAACTGTAATTTTTTTATAGCCTTATGTTTCTCAAATCAGTCACAGAACATAATGTATAAACAATATTGAGGGGATGGCGCATTGGAAGAGTCAGAAATTACAGGAGTCAAAGTGAAGACTCTATTTTTGGTCTTTGTGTAAAAAAATTGCATACTTAAGACACCCAATTTGAAATATACCGCCAAGCCAAATGGCTGCTAAATTAGGCCGCCGAATGGAATCCCCTGCTTCCTTGTTTGTTAATTTTTATAATAATTTGATCATTTTTCTTGTTTGATTTGTTTTACTACTGCGAGCAAAACAGCGTTAAATAACTAACCGTTCAATTCAAACCTGACCAAGTAAACTCGTATTTTGAAACATACCGCCCACCAAAATACTTCTAAGATAGGCTGCCTCATGGAAGCCCTCCTTTTTCGACTTGTTTTACAACAGAAAGCAAATCAGGGTTAAATAAAGACTTATTCATTTCCAACCCCGACAAAGTATACTCTTACTTTGAAAAATATCACCCACTAAAATATTGCTAAGTTAGGCCGCCAAACGCAATCCCCTGTTTTGGCAACTTTTTTCCACGGCAAATAAAACCAGGGTAAACCAAGAAACCTTCATTTCATATCATTTCCAACCTGACAAAAGCAGACTTTTGAAACAAACTACCCACCAAATAACTGCTAATGCGCCGATTGTATCCTCTGCTTTGTCTCCTGGGAAACCAAAGAGTCAGTTGCGCCGACTCAGTTTATATTTAGTCTTGACTTAACTCGGTTTATCTACATTTAAGAGGCTTGCTCAACACTTCTTTCACAGTTTCTTAGTGAAGACAAGGATTTCAAGGTTGGTGACAAGTTTGTTCGAAACAAAACTCTAAATATTCGGCAAAGTCCTGATCATCTTCAAAGTCCAGTACAGTCTAAAGGTAGGGGTTAAGTGTATTGGACCTTTACTAAGTGCTATAACTGCTGAGTGAGCGAATGGAGTTCCTGCTTCCAGAGTTTACGGTTACCAGTCAAAAACGAACAAAGTTCATCAACGGGTTTTTTCGTGTCGATCGACCAATTTTTAAGCACCTTACAGTAGATGTACCTATTATTGACACCTGTAACTTAAATTTGTTAAAATAAGCGTTTGGGATCACCCAGGATTTCAAAATTGACGCTATTTGAAAGCCCTAGTAATGAGTCACTGATTCCCATCAATATCACTTCTCCTTTGGGTAATAACATGGGGAAATGCTTATTTCTCATCACTTCACGCCAGTCGCCGGCTCCTTACGCATCAAGGACTCAAAATTTTGCCTATTTCATTCTTGTCCTATTATGTTTATGATCTTCAATTATTTTTAACCATTTTGATACCACTTCCTGATGATGTGAATATAATTTTTAAACGGCTGTTTAGAGGGTCGATAACTGTGTCTTCAAAATGATAGTTACCTACCTCAGTTATTGAAACAAAGTATAAGAGGGTATTTTATAGAACTTTGGTTTATATTCTTACTAGTTTTTTTTTTTCATTTGTAACAGAATGAAGAATGTTTTTCAAATTGATGATGAAATACTAATCAAAGAGCAGAACATAGTTACCCAATTTCCAAAGTCTAGTGGTTGTGAATAAGTTTTATTCCCTAATTCTTTAAATATCCATTAAAATGTACCAAAGTATATCTACCAATTACGTAGGTAATTTTCTGTCTAGATTATTTTATAATTATTGATTAGCTATGGGTTATAACTGAAATAAATTTAAAACTGTTCAGAACCTACTGTGTGATCATTTTGAACCAAAAATTAACTGTATTGAAAATGAAATCGTTTGATGTTTAAAATATGATGTCAATAACTGGTTCCTTTCCTATCGATAAATAGTTTTTTCATGTCAACAATTGGTGAAAAGACTGGTCATCGATATTCGTCTCGAAAAATAGAAAATTTTAGCATTTTGGCAAAAATTATAAGCGAAATCTACAAAATAGACCGGACAAGTATGAAAAACTTTGAAACAACGATAGGTTAATTAATAAAAAGAGTTGTTGGAAAAATATTGAAAAATGTCATTAAAGTATCGTCAATAATTGGTGACTTTACACTATATTGTACAAAACAATACAACACTTATTTATAACTCATTTTTTGTTATTTTACATTATTTATCTTCATTTTTTAAATTGTTTAATTCTTTGACTATTCAGCTGATGGAAACAATTTGCAATTATTATTAAATTGTTGTCCGATTGCTCTAAAGGAACATTCTCCTGAAGAAATAAAAATGAACCGAAATGAAGAAAAGCCGATAATCGCGACGAGTCAGTGACGACCTCACTCAGTCAACGAACCGAAAAGAACTTCACAAATAGCCAATTTTTCCCCAGAAAAAAGAATAACTAAAAAAAGAAGGAAAAAATAATATTCAGGAAGCCACTTCTCAATTCGACCAACCTATACTCCAGCGTACTACACAGACGTTTAATGTACCAGCTGCTAGTAGTACTCCAGATACCTCATCGCATCTTCGATGATTGCTGCTCCCGTAGGAATATTAACCAATAGTCCTTTTGCTCCTTTATCATTACCAGACGATATGGGGACCTCACTTGCGACAGAAGAAGCCACACACAAAAAAAACACCACCCATGTAAAAAAAATGTTAAGCAATACGTTATTTTCTGTGGTGTACCTTCACGACTTGTGAAGAAAAACTCATTCACCACCAAAGCTCGCTTTACCGACCTTGTAATTAATGCGGAAACAGTTGGGAGCCACACAGGTATAATCACATACCTTAAAGAACATAATGCTAATTACCATACATTCCAACTACAAGAAGACAAGGCATATGGGGTGATCATTCGCAACTTACACCAGAGTCTGCGACTCAATGGCATTAAAGAGGAATTAAGAAAAATGGGTCACTCTGTAAGAAACTTATCGCCAGTGAAACACCCGATCACGAAGCACTGTTCTTCGTGGACCTGGAGCCGAAACCAAGCAATAAAAACATTTTAGATTTTGTGGCCCACTATTGCTCTAGGGTTAAAATCAAAGAGCCGCATAGACAATGCCAGTCCTGCTCCCACTACTCCCACAACAGTCACACAATACAATACCCCTCTTGTTCGCTCAGGAGATTTCACAAACCTTCTGGGGTCATTTCTAAATGATTTCATAGCTCTAATCACGTCCTTAACATCCTTTATTAACCACAGTTGTAAACCGTCTCCCAAACTCTCTCTCCATAAATGGCCAACACACAACACCCTCTTACCGTTCTTCTTTGGAACGCCAACGGACTATCAACCGATGACATAAACAAATCGCGATTTTATATCCCAGCTACACAACTTTCACGATAACCACCACGATCAGACAGCACACGATGGGACATCAATTCTTGTTCACAACTCTCTATCTTACTTCCCAGTACTGGCAAATATTTCGAAGTACTCTTAAAGACAAAATTAAATTAAACGTAACTTAAAGACATCACAACAACTGGGTAGAACAACTAACTCCATACAACAAAGCATCTGGCATTCGACTTCATGCAAGACCAACATTACCTTACAATCTACCATTATATCTAACTCAAATTATAAGTTATAAAAGTAAGAGCGTGTTGGCACAGCTCCCTTTACCCTTCAGACAAAACATCATTCAACCGACTAACCACATAACCATCTAAAGAATTGCACAATTACTTCAACAATCAATATTCAACATATGCAGAGTCATTGATAACTGACGACAACTCATTATGGATTGCTACTAAGAAAATACTAAAATACAAAAACTGTCTCGCTTTCTACACCGAACAGACGGATTATAGACTATATCCGACGGGATTTATCAAATATATTCACTCAACACCCAGACACACACGATCACTTTGTCCCAGAGAAGTCAAGCAATCTATCTTTAACCTCTGGAAAACAAATAGTCCTGGTTACGATCGAATTACTCCAACAATATCTCAACTCCCAAAGCTCCCAACTCCCAACTCAAAAGCAATAATTTTCATAGCATATCTCTTCGCATTACTCACTTCCCCACTCTATGGAAAATCTCTTCAATAAAGGTTATTCCTAAACCAAACAAACCCACTCGCCTTCCTAGTTCTTATAGACGGATCAGGCTTTTGACTATAATCAGGAAGATTCTCGAAAAACTACGGTTGCTCCGCCTTTATAACGAAATTCCATCCCATACTTCATAATCACCAATTCGATTTTCGGAGCTGCCACTCGATTATCCATCAAGCTCATCGCGTTGTAGACA